GGAACTCTTGCAGGTGGTCAAAAGCACTTTGGTCATTTGTGGTTTGGGTCATTCCCTGGCTGATGTGTGTGACCTCAATGCAAAGACTGTCCACTGAGCTCAGTGGCACCACTGTAGATTTGCCCCAGAAAAGTTAAGAAAACTGTATTTCTTTTAATGGATATTTTAAATCTCTTTCTCTGGGGGACTCTAGACCTACTTACCTCTCTCTGCCTTGGGCCAGATTGCTTTTCCTGAACCATGTGGCATATAGTCTTGATCTCTCGGTGCCGTTCAGATAATTATACTCATTAACAGACCTAAAGGGGGTGTCAGATTAATTTTGATGGAATAACTAGGCTTTGTCACAGAAGTTACCATGGCCTGATCACTGTGGAACATGAAGGAGTTCCACAAGGGTCAGTGGTGTGAACAGTGGGACTCTAGAGCCAACCTGCTTACCACAGCAGAACGCAGAAGGGAGTTTGTGCCACTGGTGGAAATAGGAACTTGCAAAGTAGAGAGGGATGTGGCTGGGCTGATTTAGATCCTAGATGTTGACTACAGTCTTCATAGAATCTTAGAATCATAGAATGGTTTGGGTTGGAGGGACCTTCAAGATCATCTAGTTCCACCTCCTGCCCTGGGCAGGGACACTTCCCACTAGCCCAGGCTGCTCAGAGCCCCATTCTACTGGCCTTGAACACTTCCAGGGATGGGACAGCCACAGCTTCTCTAGGCAACCTATGCCAGTGCCTCACCACACTTAGAGGGAAGGATTTCTACCTAACATCTAATCTAACCATGCCCTCTTTCAGTTTAAAGCCATCCCCATAGAGTCCTGTCACTCCATGCCTCTATCCAAAGTCCCTCTGCAGCTCTCTTGGTGTCCCTTTAGGTACTGGAAAGGGCTCTAAGGTCTCCCTAGAGCCTATTCTTCTCCAGGCTGAACAACCCCAACTCTCTCAGCCTGTTTCCATAACAGAGGTGCTCCAGCCCTTTGAGCATCTTTGTGGCCTCCTCTGTCTCACTCCAACAGGTCCACATCCTTCCTATGCTGAGGGCCTCAGAGCTGGATGCAGTACAGGTGGAGTCTCATGAGAGTGGAGTGTTTTCTTCATGTGTTCATTTCAGGCACATGTAAGAGGAGTGCCAGGCTGCAGACTCCAATGGCCCACGTTTCCTGGGTTCAAGACTTGCATGTAAATCACATTTGGCTCTGCACAGAGCCATGAAACACTGCACCAGCTTAAGCAAAGTCTCTAGCACATGACGCAGGTACTTTCTTGGCAATGCCCTTCATAAAATATTTTGCAGTTGGAACAACAGGAGATTGAAAAAGCTTTGAGATAATTAAAACCTGTGATTTCTGACTCAGATCACGGAGAAAAATCAAATATAAGGTAATGCAAAAGGAATTTCTGTAAAACCAGAAAGGTTTGTGTTGATGCAAAAAAACTTTGGATGGTGTTCAAATGACCTCTAGAGCAGAGATTAGTCGCTAGTAAGTATCTATTGCTTTTTGGACCACCTCCTGTGAACTGCTTGTTCCCTTCATACTAACATCTCCAGGACTCTTCCATGGAGATATGTGCATGCAGGCTGGAAATCCTGGGTCACAGATGCAGGCAAAGGAGGAAGGGTACAGTGACAGATCACTTAGAAATCACAGGCCTGGTCACACCTAACCTATGCTGCTATCTCTGCTGTAGAGCAAGATGCTTGAGTTGGATGGTGAGGGGTTTGGTAAAGGCATTCACAGCCATGTGGT